GAATTCAATTAAAAACGCAAGTCTTCCTAGAAAAATATCACCTTTCTCCAAGGGAACAGAAACAGGAGAGGATTCTGTCTTTTTATTGCAACTTGAACAAAAACAACAGCGATTTCTTTTAAAAACAGGGCCATTTCAAGGTGCAGCTGCAGATCACACCTCAAGTGAGAAACCTTCCTTAAAGCTTTGTAGCTACTTTTAGACTTCCTTCACATTGCTTTTTAGAGCTGGAGGCAAAACATGTGCCTTTCATTTAGTTGTAACTGTAATCTTGAAGCCTCGTCTGAAAAGGCTTTTGATATCACATCAGAAATGTGCAGTGAAAAGTGGGGCATAGGAAGAGCAGGGAGCAAGAAAGCTCTTTGTGTTCGTTAGCCTCCATGGCCAGTGGGCAGGAACAAAACCCCGTGTCAGGACCGGCTCGGTCTCATCACACAAGACTGGACCTGCCAAACCACAGTGTTGAACCCAAGGCTGTAATAACAGAGGCCAGACAATAGGTACGTGGTTCTATGTGGGAAGAAGTTGAGAAATAAGGCTTTTAAACTGATTTTAAACTAAATTAGTTAGGTAATAGCCCACAGGCTAGTTGATTTGACACTTCACAAAATAATGCATTTTGTTTATTTTAGCTTAAATACAGAGCATACACGACGCTCCTTACAGGTGCAAAACGTTGCATAAAATCTCTTGAGAGTGAACTAGCAAAACATTATATCTTTGTAATAAATAACCATGCAGTTCTGTAACATCTTGTTTTTTAAGCTTACTTAACTTTCTTCTTCCAGAAAAGTATGTTCTGTATGAAGAATGTTGAATTAATACAAGGTACAGTAAGCTGTAATTCAATACTCAAAGTATTTTTTTGAACTTGAACAATTGCATGGCACCTCTGCAATATAAAGAGCACCGTCTTGTTTCACACTTCAAACCCAGAGCATTTATGCAAATAGCAACACATACAGCCTTATGTGATAAGACTGAGTAACAGGTAAAACTGGGTAAATCAAATCAATGTCAAATAAATAATAATTTAATAAAGTGAATTTATTTTTACTGACAAATGTGTTACTTGAAAACCAGGAAGAACATAAAATCTGCACTTGCTGAACCTGTATTAAAATGAGAATAAACACAAAGGAGAGTCTTCACATTCCTTCACCTTTACATAACAGACAGCAGTCGCCTCAAGTGGACAACACCAGAGGAAAGCAACAACTCGGGGAAGCTCGATAAAGGCTGAGTTAAGAGGAACATGGACACATGCTGTAAATCAATAGTCCATTGCCTTACAAGGTGCAAAATGCATCACTAGCCCCTTACACTAAACACTTCAAGGTGATTAAGGCGCTTACTTGCCACCTCAGATTGTACTGTGGGGAAAAAACAACAACAACAAAAAAACTATGTGGTGAAGGTATTAAAGTCAGCCTGCCTCCGTTACACCTCTTATTCGTTTAGCCAAGTGTATTAAGGGCTGCATCGATCGACTTCCATAAGGGAAAGCCACCTTCACAGGTAAACGCAGTGATGTAATGATGACACGGATTTAAGCAACCAACCAGCAGCAGGATCTATCATAAACAAAACTCAGACATAGGACGATTAAGCTGAGATACAATTTAATTTAGGATAAATATTTTTGGCTAGCAACCCAGATACAAAGTTCATCCATCATTATACTTTTAAAGGGACACTTGCAACAGATTCATTCACAATGGATGTCGAATGATGTTTCGTCATCTTGCACTGCTAGCTATATTTTCTGTACATTCACATTTTGTGCAAGATATTGCGGTATTCACTTGCGATTTATTGGTCAAAAGGAGCTCAGAGGTGGCAGAATACAAGCGACACGTCCAGTAAACTTCAGACTGCAGGCTAGCAACCAGAGCAGATAGTCTGACTAATTAACCAGCTAATACCAACTCTGTAAAATAGATATTTTTGTGCCACAAAGTTTTTTCTTTTTCATTACACAAAACTAAACTTAGGAGTTAAAAAAAAACTCGCTTTATAAATAGAAAACAATAGTGATCATTAATAATTCGATAACAGAAGGACTCAACTGCCTTCAGCTTTTCTGGATTCCTGCAGATACTCTACCCATTTGTTCAACCAGCCACAGTCTATGGAGCATTACTGATCAACTCACTGTTGAATTATCTTTTAATCCAATCACATTACATAATAATCTTCCAATGACTGTGAATCTTATTAGCTCATGGAAAAATCGACAAATGAGCTAATAAAGGCACCCTCTGTTTAAAATCCTGCGCTGAAAATATAATCAAAACAATCTGATTCCTTTTTTATTTCTGTGCGTTTATGCTAGTTTTCGCAGAACATAAACAGTAATAACCTGCCATAAATCCTAATGCAGTAAAAAGAATACCTTTTAAATAGAGAGGAAAATGGCTAGGTTTGCAAGAAAGCTACTATCACTGACAATGCACCTGGCTGGAAATGTGCACCTCCACACAAAGACATTCACACAGAGCCTCAGCAGCGCTGATGTCAACAGCCGGAGCTGGCGTGCCGTGGAAGCAGTGAGATCTCTTTTGCTGACAACGTGAGAGTGGAGGAGAAGCATGACACCCACAGAAAGCAGTCTGCTGTGGGGCTGTGCACCGCAGCTACACAAAGGACGAGAATTCACGTAAGAAATGGACATAAAAGAAATATCAACCTTAGCCCTGGCAGTTTGAAGCAGTATTTGGTTAATGCCAACAGCTTGGCTACGACAAACCTCCAAGTGATCCTTCCCGACCGCCCTTTTAAAACAAACAGCTGCTGTTCAAACCTAAAAATCACTGCTTGCTTGCTTGGAAACCCCGGGTTTTGCTGCAAGGACTTCATTCTCCTTTTTTGTTCTCCCTGCTCCTACTGGGAATTTGTAGAGAGCTGGCACCAGGGGAGGAGAAGCCAACAGCAGCACGCTAAAAAGAGTTTGAATTAGTAATGACTGCTGAACATGTCAGAGCGCAGCCATTAGTCGCTACGCAGGAAAGTCTAAAGAGGGCATCAATGATTTTGACACGCAAACGTTGCCTTAAAAGTCTGCTGTATTCTTTTTGCGCTCTGTGTTTCTTGAGACTTTTCCTTTAGCATTTGTTTTCTGAGACAAACGTGTCCATCTGAAAATACTGAATTGGCTACGATTAAAAAAAAAAAAAAATTGAAAAATGAAATATTTGTAAAAAAAAAAATAAAATAAAAAAAAAGACTTTATTGAGTCCTATAAAACATCTCACCTAAAATCCTGTAATCAAAGACCATCTCACAAAATCTCTTAAAAAAAATAATCTAAAGGAATTGGAATTAATTTATTAGAGGGGGAAAAAAATGGTAATATTTTGCGATTATGTGGAATACTAAATATATAATACTCAAATTCTGCTTCTCATTTCCATCAAATACAGAACCAAAACAGAATTTCCTTTCCGAGGAATGAGTGCTGCCGTGGTTCTAATTTCCTGAGCTAGGAAAGTTTTTATTTATTAATGATGGCTTTACAAAACAGTAATCCCTGGCACGATTAATAAAATATAACAACTAAAAGTCTGATTCTAAGGCAAGGAGGAAATGAGAAAAATAATGTTTCTAATGTTTATGTTGTATTGTACATAGGCCTCAGGTAAGAGGAAGTGATTCTGATGCCCTGTGTACAAAAACAAACTTGGTTCTGAAACTGGACAAAAAAAAAAAAGCCCCTGGAAATTTTCTTGGAAGCAAAAAAGAAAAATGAGCCGTTTATTTTTTTAACTGTGCATGAAACAAACCTTTCATATGTTCAAACACAAACACTACAATAGGCTAAAACAACAAAATCTCCAGGGCAGACAGAATCGGAAGTCCAGTTTGCGTGCCTCCAATGGGACAGTTGGCCTCTCCCGAACAAACAATCTGGATAAAGTTGGAATGTTAGCTGGACTGTTAATCCAATTCTACAAACCCAGCACATTGTTACCTGCTGCGTGCCTCCGAGATTAAGCAAATGCATGAGCTGTGTTGGAGCTACGAAAGAAAAACTCCCTAAACAAACATCATTATTTCAAGTATGCAATTTAAAAGCCTCAGTTCACCTTCGTTCTTTAAATTAAAACCTGCCAGTTACTATTTAAATTTACTGCCTGGAACAAAACTGATTTTTTTTTTTTTTTTTTTATTTTATTCAAAGCTGCATATTTAACAGTACATGTCATAACAATGGATACCAATATTTATCTCATTTTTAATCAACTCAAAACGTGCATGCTGTGTCATGGTGCATTTATAGTTCATAAAAATTGTGGAAATTCTTAGATTTGGTGCTTTTTTATTCTTGAGCGGGGGCTAGGATTTATCCTGGCAATCGACAGTCAATGTCAATTAAAAGAAAATGGGCCGATTCTGATCTCTGCATAACTAGTTACATGATTTGACGAAAAAATTATAATAACCAAAAGACAATTTATATAGTTTTTCAGTATGGGTCGTAATATTTTGTTTTAAGTTAGTCAACTAAAACATAAATTATCTTTGTTTGGCTATCTTAAACTACAGACTAATAAAAAATTAAACAGTTCTTTGAATTGTTTTTACCTACATGAACGCGACAGCCCCCCACCTGAGAAACATATGCCAACACTGACCAACTTGGATTTAGCTAGCTCAGCTGCTATCAACAGCTGGCCTCATCACCAACCCCACAAACACACCCATTTAAACAGCAAAGGGGGTTATCTACGATGACAAGCAGGACAAAAGTCAGTTATTTTCTTAAAACTCATACATACACTGAATCCAACACACTGAAACAGGCATATGTTGTTAGCTAATGTAGCAGGGGTGACTCGTCTCAGTAAACATGTATACTCGTAAATATTGTGCAGCAAAAGACAATAAATAAATAAGTATGCCTGGGCACAAATGTATGTTTCACGTGGTCAACCTATTCTTTAAACGCCTATTTACCAAACATTTCGTAATACTGGGTGAAAACAGGAGGCCAAGCTTACCAGCACAGGAGAGCTACAATGAGGCACACCAACAAAACGCGCAGCCTCTTCATTATCTTCCAGCGGGGACCGACATCCTCGCTATTTGGTTTGTTCCTGGTCTGTCGCGGCTGCACAATACACCGAAAACCAGCTGTGTGTTGGCCGTGAGTCTGCCTTAATTAGAAAACAAGCAAGCCACGATGCTGTGAAGGTAAAACCCACATCACCCTGACCTTTCGTACGCCTCCGTTTCAGTTTCAACAGCCACTGCTACTGACGAGTTGCTGTGCTCCAGGTAATGTAACGCCTGCCCCAGAGATAACCAATCAAATCACAGAAAGGAAATTATCCACCAATCATAGAAGACGTGGCTGTGTCGTATTTGAAAAAAAAGAAGCCCCGCCTCCAGTATTGAGGATGAGTTGGTGGCTGTACGACTGGACGCGTCACGCTTTTTGATAAACTGATCAGCAAAGCACGCCTTATTTTAAATCATTGCACAGTAACACCACGATTCATTGGAAATGACTAGTTTTTTGTATATAATCGGAATTTTTGTCATTAAAATCATTTTCTTTAATTAAATTCAAATATGTTTTAGTACAAATAGACTGATATTTCTCCACTACAACATAGAATTGCCCGTTTACCTGTGGCTTCTTTAGTCTGGACGAACTAATTTTATTCATGGTAAAAATAACAAACAAAGAGAAAATATTGTTTGTATGAGTGTGCTTGTTATTTAACTCATTTTGTTCACCAGGGTTGCGAAATTGGCCCTTCTTATATTTTGTTCCCACAAACAAACCATATCATATTCATTGTGTTTAGTCTTATTTTTTGTGTGGTTGGTATTTTTAAATAAAATATGGTGATAGATAACTATGCAAACTTATAAGTTAATTGTTTATTATTTCCACAAGATTTTTTTTAAATTATTATTCTAATTATGGTTCTGATTTCAGTTTTGGCATGATTCTTCAGAAGCACAGCAGATTATGACAAACTCTGAGCAACTCTTGCTTGTAGACATCATCTACTAATAATTACATGATGAATATTACAATCGATTTATGGTTCTCAAAATAAACTGGGGTTAAGATCTGGGGACCGTAAGCATTAAGATCCTCTTCTCTTCAAAATAAACTATCTATAAAAAGGGTCATGGCAAAAGATATTTATATGACACATTTTAGAAGAGATAAAAATATATTAATATTGGCTTTGATTGACTCATTAATTCAACAGTTATTTTGTGAGCTAGAACCACTCGGACATAAGAACAGGCGACAGAACGAAACATCAAAAAAAAAAAAAAAAAAAAAAAAAAATTTTAAAATAAATAAAAATAAAAATAATAATTATT